GTTGGGGTGCTGGCATCTGTAATAGGGCACATCTCAGCCTGTAGATGGCAAGGCTCTTCCTCTGCCTCATGCTGTGTGACAAGCTATGGCAGTACTCAAGGAGTATTAAGTGCATTTCCAGCTGAGGATAGTTTCAGTTTCAGTCTACCATGGTTTTTGGGGGGAGTGCAGAGGGGGATAGTGGGATCTAACCCTATTGTAAGTAGAAGAATATTCATACACAACATATCACTGATAAGCCCAGGTACCCCCAGTATGCATGAGAGACCCAGGATTTACTTATAACTGAAAAATTTGTAGCTGTGACTGACATCTCTCCATTTTCTCCTCATATCCTGGCAAATACTTGTCTACTTTCTGTTTCTGGAGGTTAAGCTTGGTAATATAATTTTCTTGTTCCTTAGTGGGCATTGGGAGTAGACACTAGGGTCTAGGTAAGCACTAGAGTGCAAGGTAAGCACTCTACTACTAAGGCTATTGCCCTGGCTCAACAGTTTTGAGTCCACATATAAGTGACATCATATAGTATATGTCCTTTTGGGTCTCTGATCTTACTTTTTTCTTATTTATTTTTTAATGGCTGGATACATCTTATGTATAAATCACATTTTTTTCTCTTTCTTTTTTTTTATTGTAAAAATACCGTATAGCGGGGTTACAATTACATGGGCAAGATAATGAGTACATTTCTTATCAAGCATTGTTGCCTCCTCCTTTGTTTACCCTTCTCAGCCCTTCCCATCTCCTGCCCCCTCCCGCCAAAGTTGTAAAGTTCGTTTTTTCAACATAACGACTTGTACATCTCATTGTTGCAATGGGTCCACTTGTATCCCTATTTAAATGATTTGTTATTTCCCTTCCCCTCCACTAATTATACCACATCAAATACAGTGAAAGCAGGGATATACCCTGGGGGAGGAACATACAAAGCAACAAAGAAATCATCTTATAAATATGTTAGAAACAATTGCATGAAAGAAAAAAACATTTGAATACTTATCTTGGGGTTCATTTCACCTAACACCAACTTATCTGACCTTTTTTGCTTGTCTCAGACACATACAAACATATAAATATATACATTTGTATATATATTTGTATATATACATATACAAATTGCAAATAAGGGAAACCATGGGGCCTATGTTTCTTTGGGCCTGGCTTACTTAAATCACATTTTCTTAACAGACACTTCCATTGTGTCCATGTCCTGGCAATCTTGAATAATGCCACAATGAATAAGTGAGCCCACAGCGCTTTGACAAACTGATTTCCTTTTATTTGGATACATACCCCAAGTAGGATTGGTGGATTATAGAGTGATTCTATTTTTAATTTTTAAAGGAACTGTCATACTGCTTTTCATAGTTATTGTATTAATTTATAGTCCCCACTAACAGAGTACTTGAGCTCTCTTTTCTTCCCCAGACCTTCTCCAACACTTGCTAATACTTGTCTTTTTTATATAGTCGGTCTAATTGGGTTTTAATTTGCATTTCCCCATGAGTAGTAAGGTTTAATACTCTTTTCCTCCTAGTACTGGTGTTTAATGCAAACCTATGCACTTGCTCAGCTTGCTGCTTGGCTGGCACTCTACCACTGGAGACATACCTCCAGCCCTGGTTTTTGCTGGTTGTTTCTGAAGATGGAGTCTCAAGAGCTTTTCTACCTGGATTGGCTTCAAAGCTTTATGCTCTTATTTCTCTTAATTGTCAGGCTCCACCTCCTGAGTAGGATTATAGGCATGCACCTTGACTTGAACACCTTTTTCATATACTTAGGGCTCTTGCATGTCTTCTTTGAAAATGTCTATTTAAATCTGCTATCTCTGTTTAAACTGGTTTATTTATTTATTGGGGAGGTTGTTTGGACTCTACATATTTTGTTTTTTTTATTATTTTGTATATTAACACTTTAGCTGGTGCATGGTTTGCCAATATTTTCTCCTTCCATTTTGCCATGTAATCTTGTTGATTGTTTTCCTTTGTTCTACAGAAGATGAAAAAACTTTTTTTTACTTTTTAATTTTTTTGGTGCTGGTCCCGAGGCTGGAAGGGTCTGGGCATTATACTTGAGTTTCTGTTGCTCAAGGCTAGTGCCTTACCACTTTACCACTTTAATCACAGCTCCACTTCTGGCTTTTTTTTGGGGGGGGGGAGTTTATTGGCAATAAAAGTCTTATGGATTTCCTGCTGGGGCTGATTTTGAACCATGATCCTCAGATCGCAGCCGCCTGAGTAGGTAGGATTACAGGTGTGAGCCACCAGAGCTTGGAAGATACAGATGATTTTTTATTCTAATTTAATCCTCTCATTTATTTTTATTTCTGTTGTCTGTACTTATGGGAACATTTTTTTTTTTTTTTGGTTGTAGTTGGTCTTAGAACTTGATCTTTGGTCCTGGGCACTGTTCCTGAGCTTTTTTGCTCAGGGCTAGCACTCTACCACTTTGAGCCACAGTGCCACTTCTAGTTTTTCTGGTAGTTATTTGGAGGTAAGAGTCTCATGGACTTCCTGCCTGGGCTGGCTTTGAACCATGATCCTCAGATCTCAGCCTCCTGAGTCACTAGAATTACAGGCATGAGCCACCAGTGTTCAGTTGGGACCTTTATTTTCAAACTTGTTCAAATGAAGTCTATTTTTAGTCATTCATTCATTCATTTATTCAAATCATGGTTAATCTTTACATATGTACCAGGCCAGAAGGCCCTATGAATTCAAGAGATCATCCACATGTCTAAGACATTAGTAAATGGCAGATCTGGTATCTGAATCCAAGATTTTTCTAACTTTCAGTCACTGCAGTTTTTCTCATAGGACACAGCACTATGGAATGTAAGGGTAGCCATGGGGCGTGGGATGACGGAATCAGTCATAGTTGGGCAAGAGACACAAAGAACTCTTGCCAAAGCAGGAAGAGAACACAAAAAATTGCCAGGGCGGCCACCAGCTCTCCCTACCTAGGGGCATGTAGGACAACTGGCAGGGTGTGGGGTGAGGCTGCCATCCCCAAAGTCCCAGTCTGCACAGGGTGGAGCAGATCTGAATAAAAGTTCTACCTTGAACCACTGCTCTCAGCAAAACAAGCTGTAACCCTGAGACCTGGGTCACACGTGGTTTCAATCACTGCATTTATCTGCATCTTCGTCACTGTATTTGGAAGATGACTGAATCCTTCCTCCTGTCCCAAGTATCTCAAGGTTGTGAAAGGGATGTCAATCAAAATCTGGAAAAATCTACCTCATCTGAGGTGGGTTAGAACTCGGGAGGGGTTTCAGGAATAGTACAGTAACATCCCACCCACTCTCCTAAAACAAATCTGAACCAACAAAAGTCTAAAACTTTCCACTTGATCATTTCACCCTGCTTTGTCATAACTGTACTCTAGGTCCACGCCCTGCTGGGCTTTTCTGAAGCCTCGGGGAAGCTGGGAAGTGTCTGCTCTCAGCTTTGTGTCACTCCCACAATAAACAATCACTAAACAGCTTGCTGCCCTAGGCAACTGTTTGTCCAGCTTGGCCAGGCCCTGAGACTTCCCCTAGCTAGAATGGTGGGAGGCATTCACTTTAAAGCAGAATTCAGACTCCCAGGACGGGAGGTAGGCTTTGCCTTCTGGGAGTTTTCCAATGGCAGAAATGTTGGCCTGGGAAATCAATCGAAGGAAGGCCCAAACTTCTCATATTAATGGTAAATAAGGGTAATTTTCTGTTTCAAGGTTCCTTTCTACAGCTGGCACAGTTGGCAGTTAAGAGATAGTTTAAGATTCACCTCCACCAAGACCATCAAAAAGAGAATATAAAGTCGCAGAATCTCTAGCCTTTGTCATGTGTCGTGTCTCTCCCCCCCCCCCCCCCCCCCACTTGTGATCTGATTGAATCGATGGGGTGTGTGGGGAGGTGCTGGAGATGGAGGAAGGCTCTGTGGATAACGAGGTTTAGAATACGGACTCCAGCTCTTAGTACAGGGTGGAAGGTGCGTAACATTGTGACAATTACGCTCGATTATGCTAATTCCTCTTTATCTTGGGGATTCAGGGTGTTCCGACGAAGAAAAAAAAAAAAGGATGGGCTATCTAGGGGAATCCATAGAAAAATGCTTAGTAGGAAATCAAAACACTGGGCCTGGAGGAGGGCTGGGGAAGGCATCCATCCCGGTCGGGGATCGCTCTCTGAGGCGCAGGCTCGTCCCACTTCCCCAGGTTTAAGCATCGTTCTCCGAGCGAGGGAGCACCCGGGGCCTGCAGCTCGGGGAGGCGTTCCTCGCAGGCAGGCAGCCCAAGAGCTGGGGTTCTCCGGGGCGGCCCGGGCAGCTCCAGCGGCGTGGCACGGCCATCCCCGCGTCCCCACCGGCACCTCTGGGCGGCGCTGGTTTCCGGGCACAGCCCAGGCTGGGTTCTCCGGCCCCGGCGAGCCGAGGGTGCGGGGCCGCGGGAAGCGATCGGGGGTGAACCGGCGAGCTCCGAGCGAGCGGGTGCGAGCCCCAGCGCTCCAGGGGTCCCCGCGCCTCCCGCGTCCTCGCGCCGCGCCGGCGCTTGGGCCTCCGAGTCCGGGGGGTTATGAATGGGCGCAGCGGAAGCACCGCCCACCCCGGACGTGACGCTCAGCCAATGGCAGCGCGGGCTGCGTGGATGGATGAGGTCAGCGCTGTCGTGTCGGGAATGGAATGTGTAAGTGTAACATTCAGAACCGGGTAACATTCGGCGGCGACCCAACGCGGCGGTCGGTCGGCAGCGATCGCGCGCGCGCGCGGGGCCTGCGGAGCGCCGCTCGCTGGCTCGGCTCCGCTCTGCTCGCTCGGGGCCGGCACTGCCCGCGGGGAGGACGCGCCGCCTTCGCCGCCACCCAGCGCCGCCGCCGCCGCCGCCGCCGCCGCCGCCGCCACCGCCACCACCGCCACCGCCGCCGCCGCCGCCGCCGCCGAGTCGGGCCCGGGGGGCCGGCCCCGGCGAGCCGGAGAGTGCAGAGTAAACACCGCCGGAGTCGGAGCCGCTGCGGAAAGGGAATAAAGAGAGAGAGATGCAGGGATTTGTGAGGCTACGGCGCGCCAGCTGCAAGACACACTGAGCCGGTGGCTGCACCCGGGGTTCGGCTGACTTGTTGGAACCGGCGGGCTCTCTTTGCACGAGAGTGTGGATGAGTTGAAGTTGCTTTTCCCGGGGCTCGTTTTCCACGTTGCTGGAGAGGAATCGGAGAGGCAAGGCAATCACTTGGTCTAGCCATTGATTGGGTATCGGGAGCTCCCCCCCTCCACTTCTCCTTCCCACCCCCATCTTTTTCTTTCTCTCTCTCTGTCTCTTTCCCTCCGTCTTGTTGCATGCACGAAAATTACAGTCCGCTGCTCGCACGCCCGGGGTGCGCGATCCTCAGCCCCGCGCTCGCCCGCTCACCCCGCGCTCCCCCCGCCTCCCGCGTGCATTGGCATTGTGCAACCCGAAGATGAAAGACCGAAGGGGAGAAAGTTAAAGAAATCGCCCACATGCGCAGGATCGGTCCACGGCTCGGGGAAAGGCATCCAGAGAAGGTGGGAGCGGAGAGTTTGAAGTCTTTACCGGCGGGAAGATGGCGGACTGGAGCTGAAAGTGTTGATTGGGAAACTTGGGTGATTCGTGTGTTTATTTACAATTCTCTTGACCCAGGCAGGACACATGCAGGCCAAAAAACGCTATTTCATCCTGCTCTCAGCTGGCTCTTGTCTCGCCCTTTTGTTTTATTTCGGAGGCTTGCAGTTTAGGGCATCGAAGAGCCACAGCCGGAGAGAAGAGCACAGCGGTCGGAATGGCTTGCACCCACCCAGTCCGGATCATTTCTGGCCCCGCTTTCCGGACGCCCTGCGCCCCTTCTTTCCTGGGGATCCATCGGAGCCCGAGGATTTCAGCGTGCACATCTCCCCCCGGCAGAAGCGAGACGCCAACTCGAGCCTCTACAAAGGCAAGAAGTGCCGCATGGAGTCCTGCTTCGATTTCACCCTTTGCAAGAAAAACGGCTTCAAAGTCTACGTCTACCCGCAGCAGAAAGGGGAGAAAATCGCCGAAAGTTACCAAAACATTCTAGCGGCCATCGAGGGCTCCAGGTTCTACACCTCGGACCCCAGCCAGGCGTGCCTCTTTGTCCTGAGTCTGGATACTTTAGACCGAGACCAGTTGTCACCTCAGTACGTGCACAATTTGAGATCCAAAGTTCAGAGTCTCCACTTGTGGAACAATGGTAGGAATCATTTGATTTTTAATTTATATTCCGGGACGTGGCCTGACTACACCGAGGACGTGGGCTTTGACATCGGCCAGGCGATGCTGGCCAAAGCCAGCATCAGTACTGAAAACTTCCGACCCAACTTTGATGTTTCTATCCCCCTCTTTTCTAAGGATCATCCCAGGACAGGAGGGGAGAGGGGGTTCTTGAAGTTTAACACCATCCCTCCTCTCAGGAAGTACATGCTGGTCTTCAAGGGGAAGAGGTACCTGACAGGGATCGGGTCAGACACCAGGAATGCCTTATATCACGTCCATAACGGGGAGGACGTCTTGCTCCTCACCACCTGCAAGCATGGCAAAGACTGGCAAAAGCACAAGGATTCGCGCTGTGACCGGGACAACACGGAGTATGAGAAGTAAGTGTCTGCGCTGCCTGCCCGGGTGCAGGTGTGAGTTGGGTGGGTGGGTGGATGGGGGCTGGGGGGGAGATCAGGCCAGAAAAGCTCTCCAGTTCTTTTCTATCCTCTTCTGACCCTGGGACCGTGCCACCTGGTTCAAGTGTGCTGTTGGAGCTCCTTGGGCAAACTGAAAAGCCCAGAGCACTTTCCTGAGCCAAGTAGGTGACTGGCCGGGCTTAGAAAACCTTGGAGGGGGGGGGGGGCGAGGGGGGGGGAGTGTTTCTGTCTCCTGTTAAAGGTGGAGTTAGGACCCGAGTTTGGGAGCTGTGTGTTTCAGCCTGGGGTACCAGAGGTACTGTCTGCGTTCGGAGACCCTGAGAGGCTCTGATTCACACCTTCTCTTCACCCCCCTCCCCCCTTCCCCTCCCCAGCCTGCAGATCATCTCTTCTAGAATGGTGCTTTGTTTTACTATCCTAAGCTTAGGTACCTAATCTTCCTGGAGTTTCCTCACCTCAATTTAGATTCTTGGTAGCTGGGGAAGGGTTTTAATTATCAGTACTCAAGCTGTGTGCCTGTCTCCTCCTTCCTTCTTTCGTGGTTTTAACTTTTATAAAGGCAGACTGTAGGTTTGGTAAGGCCTGAGACCTTGCATACATGCATGCATGCATTCATTCTTTCTTGTCCCCTAGTCTCCTCCCCTGGAGGAACTTTAAAATCTGGGCCTCAAGCCCTAGGCTGTAAACTTTTCTGGCTAATTTAGGTTTCCTTTCCCTCTTTGTCTTTATCTATTTGCATATAAATCAAGGGCTGTTACTCTCTGAATGGGTGTGAGTTGCCTCTTGGCCTCTGTGGTGTGGCTAGTTTTGTTCTGTTGCTAAGTAACTGACGCAGTTACTTTCTAGCCCTTTTTACTCTAGTTCTTCCTTCTCCGTGACAGTGACGGACACACTGGACTTGGGGGCAAAGCTAGAATTCGCAAATCTGCTTTAACCCTAGCTTAGCAGCCCAGTTTCCTGATGGGATGGCTGCCCTAGACTCTCACTCGCATCTGGCTGTGAGATTTAGTGGGTTCTTACGGTGCATTTCCACGTTACGCCAGATAAAAAACCAGAGCAGCCTTGTGCTATCCAGGGAAAGAAGGGGAACCTCTCAGCGGAGTACAAGAGGCACTGGCAGAGGTTGGCGGATTTTGCAGTTGATTCATGAAATGCAGCGTGAGGGGGGAATGGTTAGCTAACCTGAGGGAAGCAGGAAGGGGTAGGGTGGGAAAGAAGCCCTGAAATGAAAGGTTTGATTGTTGTCTGTGGCTTTTCTCAGACACCCAGACCTCTGTGGGAGGGACCAGGAGGGAAATTAAAGTCCTCCTAGAATTGATCATGGAAAGCAAAGGAGGAAGTATCAAGTACTGAGATTCGACTTGGAAACCCCCAACACCTTTTGCTTTTCAAGGATAAGAAAAGCCAGCGGGAGGCTAGGATTGATTCACAATCTGTATTTTACTCTTACTCAGGGGGGCTACTGTGTGGGAATGTTAGGGTGCAATTGCAGTGGGTTAAAATTTTCTCACAAAAGAAACTTCAGCTACAGTTAATAACTAGCTGCTTTGTTTACACAACATTTGCATTGACCTGTCCCTGTGGGTGCTTGTAAGAAAAAAAAATGCTTTATAGCCTTTCAGGAATTTCTTTGTCTGGTAGATGGATGGTAGATGCAGCCTACCTAACCTTCCAGTGAATTCTCAGGCTATCAACACCATAATTTTCAGGAGGATCATGTTGGTCTTCATCCTTCTGAGAGATCAGGAGCTGAGATTTCACCTTAGAATACTTGACATAGGGATTTCTTTGGGAAACACCTTCACTCCAATTAACCAGTCGTATCTTCTTTCCCCTCCTATTTGCTAAGTAAATTTTAAATCTTGACATTTCCTGCTGTCTGAGGCTTCCTGCAGGTTTCCTGCTGTTAGCAGTGAAGATAGGATTGGTTTCCTTGCAACTTTAATTTTCGCAACTTTAATTTTTGCTAAATAAATTGAACTTTTTTTTGAACTCTGTGATTGGTTCAAGAAATCTGACACACACCCTTGTTTTGATTTAGGTATAAAAACTAACAAGGGTCAAGACCGCAGGATTTTGTCTCTTTGGAAAGTAACACTTAAAGGGAAGCAGAGATTTCTTAGGCAATGTTGTTCTGGGCTTTTCTTGAAGTTCCTCTTTTGCACACCTTCCCACCTTAACCTGGCTTAATTGGACCGGACATTTGTATTCACCAACCTGGAACACCTGGAGTTTAAACTCATTTCTTATTGGATGATTAGAATATTTCTTCCTGAGAAATGGGGCTTGTAAACAGGGTTGCCTTTTGCTATTGATTTGGGACCCAGAGAGTTGAAGTTAAGAACTTGGAAATGTGTGAGTAATAATATCTGCAGAGGAAACAAATGTGTGTTGTTGTGCTGTGGAATATTACTTGTCAGCAATGCTTCTAAGGAGGCTTTCTGAAACTGTTCTGTGTGGGTGGTGTGGGGTGGAGAGGTAACACTCCTTTGCTCCCATTGCTGATCTCTCCAGAGCTTTAGGTGGAAAGGATGGGACACCCAAGTCAAATCTATAGAAGTTCAGCTTCTACATATCTGTGAGTTGATTCCAGCATTGAGCACTGGTCTACCCTTGTGTGGAATGGACTTTTAGGGTGCTTTCTGGTAGTTCCAAGCTTTCATTTGGTAATGGCTTGTAAAAACACAATCAATTTTCATCTACTTCTCATCTTTTTTAACAAGTGCCTATGAAAAGACTTCAATTTAATTTGTTGCCACCAACAACCACATAGAAGTTCGCTTTGGACTCAGGGGATGTGATAATTAGATTGGGATTTTATGACTCCAGGCCCAAGTTAGGGTATGCTCACATTTATCCACAACAAATGGTTGGTGTTATTGACATGTGATGCTGGAGATTTGGTTCTGAATGTCAAGGGCTTGCGTGTCTCCTGCAGTTCTGTAAAAATTAGATACGACTACAGAGGTTAGGAGAGACATGTGGAGTGAATGAAAGTACTTCTGTCTTGTATTCAAGCAAAGTCAATTTCTCCCATAAATTTTGACCCAGACTTCCAGGATGATATTAAAACATCTATTTTTATGACACTCATTAATTAATTTTCATCAGTGACATCTTTTAACAGATGTAGATGACACCAGCTAAAATCAGTTGGTGTAGTGATGAGACGATTTGTAATGAGGCCTCAGAGAAATTCTATTTTACATTCTTTGAGCTTATCCTTCCTTACAGAACGACTGAATTTTTGCATGAACTTCCCAGTTTAAATCCCTTCCAAGGGCGTTATTATGGACTGTAAGTTTGGCTGTATGAAATAGAAGAAAGAGAAGGAAATGAGAGGACACCTTCTATCTCTGACACCTCTGAGGAAAGCAGTGGTGATTGTTTTTATACAGATCTGCTGGGGACAGGGACTTCTTAGCGGGCATCTCCTTTTCCTGTACCCCACAGGCGTGGTAGCTTTCAAGAGGGATGACCCTTCTGATTCTGGCATCTTTGTTTCACAGATGTGAAACAAAGGGATGGAATATTTAAGGGTGTCCAATCAGAAACCTGGTAAATATCAGGAGTGACCTTATAGGACTGGATTTCTCCTTCATCTGTTGCTGCCCATTTCCAATGGCATCCCTGAAAGCCCACCAGCCACTGGGAAATGCAAACTTGTGATGCTTCTTACGAGATTTCTCTTAGAGTTCTTTTGGAACTTTGGAAATCTTTGACAAATGTTGAAACATACACAGACATGCACAGTCTCATTTTAAGGGCCAGTGTACCCCCTGTTAAAGGCATCTTCAGATTTGTATCTTTGGGTGCTGGGCTTACAGTTTTACCCTTGATTGATAACTAAGGTGAGCGAGTCATGGAGCTGTCCCTGAACTTTTTAGCTGTGTCCTAAGGGTTTTAGGAGAAGGACCATGAGTGGATCAAACAAATCAGTTTAATTCAGATGCCTTTATAGGAAAAAGAAAACATGCCCAAGACAAACTATGTAAATGACTTTTTTTTCCTTTCCCAGTTTTCCTAACTTCTGTTCCCAAACACTCTGAACAAGTTCCTCATCCAGCAGTTTTCCTCTTGTAAAATGAAAGGTGGGCAAAGCCATGCCTAGGCTTCAAATGCAAATTATTAGCCCTTCCCCCCCCCTCGGGGCTCCCCCCCTCCCCAGCTGTAGGATGGCAACAAAAAGTCTTTCTAAAATAAACTATATGAAGCACAGATTTCAGATAAAGGTAGATCTTGCCAGGTGCAAAATTATGAGGTTGGTAAGTGCATCACTGGATTTCTACCTCAACTCTAAATGTATATTTTCCCACGAGCACCCCAAAGCCTCATTTACATGAGATCTCTGAACATAGGTTGAGGTGAAATGTCCTACTTCTAGGGACATTTCTTTTTTTTTTGGTCGGTCGTGGGGCTTGAACTCTGGGTCTGGGCGCTGCCCCTCAGCTCTTCAGCTCAAGGCGAGCGCTCTACCACTTGAGCTACAACGCCACTTCTGGTTTTCTGGTGGTTTTATTGGAGATAGGAGTCTCACAGTCTTTCCTACTCGGGCTGGCTTTGAACCGTGATCCTCAGATCTCAGCCTCCTGAGTAGCTAGGATTACAGGCGTGAGCCACCAGCGCCCGGCTCCAGGGACATTTCTATTTTGACTGAGTCTAGTCTAGGGAATGCGAATCTAGGGGTCTGTAGGATTTTAGTCCACAAATAATGGCTTGCTCCTAAGGCTTGGGCTGTCCAATTGTGTTCACTGTGACTGTTAAAGCAGCTGCATGGCACAGAATTGACTAAAGGGGAAACCTCACACATTTTGGTGGCTATTATCTTTTTTTTTTTTTTTTTGTAGGTCCTGGGGCTTGAACTCAGGGCCCGGGTGCCCTCCTTGATCTTTTTTGCTCAAGACTAGAGCTCTACCATTTTGAGCCATAGCTCCACTTTTATTTTTTCAGGTCTGTGGAGA